CTCCAACTCCTTAACAACTGCATGTGTGCATGAACACGTACGTACATCTGGAGATTATCCATTTGTTGAAACCTCTGTTATTTCTTCATTTCAGACCCATAGCTGCACATCTCAGTTCATTCACCCCATGAGTACCTTGCTTCCATTAAATATAGGTGCATGTGTCCACCAAAACATGCTGAGCCCAGGACTGTGTGGTGGTATCTCATGGTATCAGCATCGAGCCCCTGAGTTCCAGCCCCTTTGCTAACAATAGTCAGTACCTCTGTGGAGATTATCAAAGCTATAAAGGTAATTCTCTTTATTTGCCATTCAATTAAGACTTCTTGGAGTGCTGGTTAATGCTTAGATGTGTCTTCTATAGGTGCTAAAACTCTGGTTTATAAATGCATGCCTACTTTATGTAGCTCTTAAATATTAAGCTTTAACAGAAACATTGGCTGTGGGTAACGTAAGATAATTGTTATTATTTCCTCTGGGGGTGATGTTTTACTGCCTTGGAGACAGTCAGCATTTGCATTAGATATAGATCATAAAGATACACGCACAGCAATTTCTATTGTTTACGGTTACAGCTCAGGCATTTCCTTCAGCGTCGTTTCGCAAAGGACCCCGCCACTTTCCCAGCGAGGTGCCTGACGAATTGCAGCCCCACGGAGCCGACGTTAATGGGAATGATGTCACTGCTTACCCGGCTCACCAGACCAGAAAGTGTTCCCTGGACCAACGCTGAGAGCATCCCACTCCGATCCATTCCTGGTGCACGCCGAGCCAGGCTGAGGGGAACAAGGAGCACTGAAAAAAAAAAAAAAAAAAAAGGAAAACCTTCAACCAAAACACTCCTGCATTCCCACCCACTTGACAGCTCCCCGTTTTACACTGATAAGGTAGACAGCCGGCTGTACCCCTGTAGCCATAAAACAACATTTGACAACTGTTTCGAATTTAAGCGTTAGCAGCAGGCGGATGAGAAGGGTAGGGAAGCCTTGTAGGGGCTGCGGGGTAGGGTTCAGCCCACCTATAAATACTCCAAAATGATGCACTGCTCTGCTTGTTGCTCCAGCCCCATGGGACAGGACCCATGTTGCAAAACCAGCCCACCGTTTGGCACTGCCGAGCGGTGTTAATCTCCCCTCCTCTGCAGGGGTCCGGGACTGAGCTAGTGTCTGTCTCTTGGAAAGGAACAAGAGACGTGCTCTGCTTCTGATCCAAACCTAGCTGGGGGTGAGAGAACGAGTGGGGCACGTGGAGGGGGTGCAAGAGAGAGGCACATCTTGTCTTTCCATTTAAGAGATCGTTTTTCCCCCTGTGTTGCTGTCCCCTCGTGCTCCTGTGGCTCAGTGCTGAGAGAGTGAGTTTATGATGTTGGGTGCATTCATAAGATTTTATGAGAAATGAGCTGTTGCAATTCCAGGCTAGCAAGCGGAGAGGAGCTGCTTTAGGGATGAATGCAGCCCACTTGTTAGAAAGAAGAAGGCTCATGCTACGACCAAAGCCTTTCAGCATAAGCAAAAGCAAGGCTTATAACCACCACTTGTACCTGGAGAGTAAGCCTGGGGCTTATAAAACCTGCTCATTACTGACCTGTGAGGGTAGAGATGGGCAGAGCAGGCCTTTAGTTGCTTTTCCAGGTGTTGCTAAACCAAGAGGTGTTGCTAACCCAGGGGAAAACAAAAAATAAAAGCAGGTCATTATTACTGAGGTTGGTAAAACAAGCAGGAAAACAGCAGAAGCTGCTGCAGCCTGGACAAAGACATCAGCAAAGAGCAGAAACCCTTCCTGCATGGGGAGATGAGGTTTTGGGGCACAAAGGGTGAGGGAACAGGATTCAGCCTGTGGTTTAGGATGTCCCATCCACCGCTGGAAGGTGAAGTCAGTCAGGCGTTGTCTTTGACAACAGCAGCCACTCTCAATGTAGATGTGCTTCCACCTGGTTGCCTTTACCCCAGAAGCATCCCATCAGTATGGTCATTACACCAGGTGATCCCAACCATGGGACAGCTTCTCCAGTTCACTGTGCTGCCAGGCGTAGATGTTCCTCCAACCCACCCATAGACGTCTGCCCATGGAGAAGCTCATCTAGGTGCTCACTAAGCCTTTACCAACTCAAGTTCTGAAGCTCTCTACATCTCCAAGCATGATAACTCTGACATCTAAAGGTCATAGCATAGACACAGCTTCTGCGAGTGCAGGTAAACCTCCAGCCTTGCACATTTAGGTGCGCAGGTCCAACACCAAAGGTCTGTGACATAGAAAAGCAATTAATGTTTCTTTCTGTTGTACCCATAAACTTCACCCTCCTCTTCTTCTTCTCACAACATAAGCCACATGCTGGAAGACCATATCCAAAGCATTAAGAAGTTCAATAAAATCTGGAGAAGTCCTACCTAGTGGGTGAGAAATGGAGTTGATTCTCCACCCCAAGACCACCAGGGGAAGAAGAGGCAACCAGCTCCCTGATAACCATCAGTCTGGCCCCGAGTACATTGGCAGCCCCAAAAGCCAAGCGTGCCCTGGGCTGCAGCAGCAGCAGCGTGGCAGCAGGGCGAGGGAGGGGATTGTCCCCTGGGTCCCCCCTGCAGCGCTGCGTTCAGCTCTGGGCCCAGCACAAGGACACGGAGCTGCCGGAGCAGGCCCGGAGGAGGCCGCGAGGATGCTCAGGGGCTGGAGCAGCTCTGCTGTGGGGCCAGGACGAGGGGCAGCGGCTGGAGCCTGGCAGGGGGAGGCTTTGGGGAGGCCTTGGGAAGAAATTCTGCCCTCTGAGGGCGCTGAGGGCCTGGCCCAGGCTGCCCTGAGGAGCTGGGGGTGCCCCAGCCCTGGCAGTGCCCAAGGCCAGGCTGGGTGGACATGTCCCTGCCCATTGGGAACTGGGTGGTCTTTAAGGTCCCTTCCAGCCCAAACCATTCAATAATTCTATGATTAGCCAATATGTGGTATATGCATTTTAAAGTGTTACAAGCTTTATACAGAGTCATGCCTTGGAGGGACAATTTACACCCTTGCAGGTGGCATATTTTTCAGCTGTGCAGGCAGCCTTTCCCCTCTAGGTAACTTTTTCAACAAATTTCCATTTACAGGCCCTGCAAATAACCAGTTATGAAATCTGCTGCTTCAGGACTTCTGTAAGACAAAAAAAATAAAAATAAAAAATAAAAAAAGTCATCAGCACAGACTTTAAAATGCAGATTTCATCTCTACCACATGAGGCTTATTCCTTCCAGCAGAGAGTAAAGGGGAGCTAAATGTGGTAGTGTTAGGATTCCTGATTTGTGCAATGCCTTTCACACACTCTTTCCAGCTAAAAAGCTAATGAGACACTGAAAGCAAGGCACAAAGTCCAGCCCATCTCAGGCCCAGGTTTTAAATGGCTTGCCAGCACCAAGGTTAAAGAGGAGAAATGTGAGCCTCAGCTGTCCCTCTACCTGTAAATAGCATGGGACACGACTTCACAGAATCACAGAATTTCTAGGCCCCAGAGGTCTGTGGAGTAGGAGATATAGGAAATATATTTGACGGGAGGCAGAGAGAAAGCTTTGGTCATGTCAAAGGGACACGTACAAGCAGAGCTAACCCTCACTGTCACACTTGTGACTTTAAAAACTCCAGTTAAAAAGCTCAAGAACTGCAAATACTTTGTTCTGTTCAAATTTCATGGAGCCTTTTGTGCAAACTAGCTGGCAACGTGTGAATGGGATAGCTTGGGAGAGCTGGAGTCATCAAATATTTGGGCTGAGGGGTGGTTGATGGTCTGCGGTGCTCCTTGCAAACTAATCTGAGGGATGCCTTAGATCTTCAGACTATCCAGTGCGGGGAAAGCCGTGACCCACTGCCGCTTTCATTTCTGTCCTAATGCACTTTGCATATTTGGCTTTGTCTCGCTTGGGTGTGATCCAGGCACACATCCTTCAAATGAAACAAACCCACTCTGTCTGAGGGTCCCTCCGCTCTTGGACGGGAGCTGGAAGCCCACTCCACTCAGTGTGTCCTTCCAGAAAGAGCGCCCAAGGATTTTTAACTTCTTTACAGCTCAAAGCGGGCATTAAAAAGGAGGCTGGAGCGAGTGGAATCCGTTTGAAGGAGATGCCAGCGTTGTCCCCCTCGGCAAACAGGCTGCCCACGAAGACAGCCCGTCCTCCAGCTCCCGCTGAGCGGGGTGGGCCAGGCTCCATCTGCGTGCTCAAGGGGATCTTTCATACAGGCTCCGGGAGAAAAGCAAAGTGTCACCTCCTCTGCGGGGAATTAGTATTCAAATTATACAGGGCTCCTCGCACTGAAGGGGCTGCAACGCCGGCTGGCAGCCGTTCCTCCCTCCGTGGTGACCTCTCCGCTGCAAGTATGTGCCCGCCGTGCCAAGTGTTGTCACTTGTGGCTTCCCACTGCTGGAGTCATTCAGACTGCAGGCATCCATCCCTGTTGCACAAACACTGCAGCTGGCATGAGTGCTAATACATGCATTCAGATATAACGGGTCATGGGTGCAGAGCACCCTCCTCAGCCCCTGGGGGGGTTAAGCAGGGCTCCTTCCCATTGCATTTGTGCACAGCAAAGTCTCTCTTCTCTCCCTGCTGCCAGCACACCTCAGTTCAGGTCCCATCCCTTCTGAATGCACATGGAAAAACTTGATATTTTGTCTTCCTACTGCAACATCTAAGTATTTGCTGAGGTTTCTCCCAGCAGAAGGCACCAAAAGCTCCTGCAAAGGAGCTAAACTCTTCTTTTTAGTTTGGATCTGCCAGCATTCCTGCCTGACCTCCAGAGGTGGCTCTCAGGAGCTGGCAGCAGCTCTCCCACCTTAACCAAATCTGTGCCAATAGAACATGGGAAGCCCCAAATCCCCAACTGGCTGGTGGTATCAGGCAGCTGCTGGTCCCTGTGGTGCCAGCCCTGCTCCAGCAGGGCCACCCCGAGCAGGGGGCCCAGCCCCACGTCCAGGCGGCTGCTGGAGATCCCCAAGGAGGAGCCCCCAGCCCCTCTCTGGGCAGCCAGTGCCAGTGCAAGGACCCTTTTCACATCCTAATTAAATCCATAGTGATTGGATTCCCATCCCATACCCTACCCATAGGGTATTCCTCTGACTCCCTTCCCACTACTCTTGTTGGGACAGGCACAGGGGAGCAGGGGGTGAAGAGGAGTTTCGGTATGGATGAGCAGATGGCCAAGCAGAGTCCCCAAGGACTGATTTCCTTGGACCATGGACCACAAATGCAGCTTTGGGGCACATCTGGCAGAATATCCCAAAATGTTTTCTGCTAAAAAAGGCAGATTGCTGCTGTGAGGCCATGCTCTGTGCTGCTGGAGGAGCCTGATGACTGCAGAAGGAGCTTGAGGAGACACCATTAGGTCTTCACACACTGGATGAGACCACAGTACATCTTTGAATGATGGACGCTGAGGGAGCTGTTTACAGTAGCCAACATGGGCTAGTTCCCTCTCCTTTTTTCTCCCTCTTCTCCTTGGGGTTTTGATTAGGCAATTACCCACGAAGCCTGGAGGAGGCATTTCTCAGCCCTCCTGGTGAAAGCCGAGTTGCAAACAGTGGGGGAGAAGCAAAACAGTGTAACGCCTTCTTCAAAAAAGAATAATATAAAATAAAAAGGAAACCAAGCCAACACCACCCGTTACCCAAGGTGATTAAGAGAAATTGTGGACTAACTGCTTATCCTTGTATATTGCTGGTTTATCCATCAGGTCACAACACGGAGGGGAAGGCAGCAGGAGGGGAGAGAGATTACTCGTCTCGGCTCCTCTGGCAGCCACCGGCTGCCGTTTACAAAGCCCTGGAAATGTACAACACACTTTACAAGGCACACATGCTGAAGGCTCTGGGTTTGGGGGGGTCTATGGATGTGGATCCTACTGCTCTTACACCGCTTTATCTACGGGACACCTGGAAATCAGTCTCAATAGCTGCAGAGCGTACGGGCTGCAGATCACAGACGCATCCCTGCAGCAGAGAGGGAGAGAGTAAAAATGTCAGGAGCTCATTAAAAATATAGAAGCCGAGGGAGTGTGAATGCAAAGAGTCTGTAGGAATCGCTTTAGTTTGAGTTACTGAATCCAAGAGCTGCTCTGTAAGCAAACAATTGCTTCATAACCCATGTTTCAGTGGAGAGAGGTGGAAACCTTCACATCATCAGCTCTGAAACCTTGTATGAGGATGGACTGCTGACCCAGACTGAGCATCTGAAGCAGGAGCAAGCTTGTAGGAGATGGTTAATCACCAAAAACTCAGGCAAGTTCATGAGCAGACTGATTTTCACCTTCAGGCTGGAGGAAGCCTACAGGGTGCGCACAGCACCCCAGCTAGGACAAAACCTGGAGAGACACCAAGACCAAAAAAAATAAATAAAAAATGAAAATAAAACATTCCCAGAGAAAATATTCCCAATCCCATTCCCATTCTTCCCAGAGGGGCTGGGGGCTCCTCCTTGGGGATCTCCAGCAGCCACCTGGACATGGGGCCAGGCCCCCTGCTCGGGGTGGCCCTGCTGGAGCAGGGCTGGCTCCACAGGGACCTGCAGCTGCCTTTAAATCTAAACCATTCTTCGATTCTGAGTATGCCTCAGGGCCAAGCATAAGACTCAAATCCTTCCCTTTTGAGGCCATTTGGGCATGAAGCTTCCATTCAGGACCCTCGTCTCAGGGTAGGATTTGTCCTTTCCGGCCCTTCCCTCTGCAGAAAACATTTTGGGTTCTGGCTGGCACCACATCAAACGTTTCCAGCACCTGATCTGAAGTAAAACATTAAGAATCGGATACAACCGGACTTGAAACAACACCAGCATTATTATAAGAAAAAAAAAATCCCCCTGGTGGCATTAATGAGCTCTTTGAAGGGGGCTACCAGCAAGGTAATCCCTCCATGCCCTGCAGACAGCGAGCCGGCCAGAGAGGGGAGATGCAAAACGTTGCAGTTTCTCCAAAACTTGCAGCAATTTTCAGCTGAAGAAATGTGACCACAGGCAAGGATGGGGGCTGAACCCACCGCCGCGTTTTCCACCCGTCCCTCCTCGTGTGATAATTCACGTTTCCTCAGGCGACGATTTCGACACAGCACATTTTTGTTGTCGCTGGCGTTCAAGGGCCTCCAGAAGAGGGGATTATAGGATGGGATAAGGCCTGCCTGCCCGTCTGATAAAGCCTAGCTGGAGATAAGGGCTCCTTACAGGTCTAATTTTAAAACTGGCCCCCATGCCCTTTGCTTCTCTTAATTCAGAGCCGATCGGTGCAGCCTGCATAAAAGCAAAGAAATGGGTGAAGGGGCTGGGGAAGGCTGGGAGTCTGCATCCTCCTGTCCTCTCCCTTCCACCCCAGGCACACAATGAGTCCCTGTGGCTCGAAACATTTAGGATATCATCCTTTTCCGTTTGAAGAGCCACAGGAGCCAGAAAACTCTCCTCCCAGCACAATGCCCACTCACAGCACCAATTTCTGGCAAGCTGAAGGAGCTGTGGGGCACACACACAAAGCACATGGATGGATGGATGGAGCTGGACTCACCTCCTCTCCTGCCCCAGCATCAGGCTACCAATCCTCCAGGTTTCCCCGTGACTTAATTTAGCTTGTGGTGGAGCTCCAGGCTCTGCTTTCCCATCCTAGCACAAGCGAGCAGAGCTTGGCCTTGACCTGGGGTGGGCTGGGGCTGCCTCCACCCAAGCTTCTCTGTGCAAGCCTCCAGGTTTGCCATTTATTTATCCACTCCTCATTTTAAGTGTCCTTAACAGAGGGCCAGCTTGTCATCCTCAGGCAAAGACACGTCCCCAGTGACCAGCTTCAGAGCAAGAAAGGTTCATCCCACCATCTCTGTCCTCACATTTTCACTACTCAGAGGCATTGCATCACTCCTGAGAGTTATTGTACTGAAACGAGAGAGATTGTCACCTGGTGCAAGCCCCACTGATGGCAATGGAAGTCCTGAATTACCCACAGGTGATGACAGTCATCTGATTTAAAGAAAGTTTTTGAGGTCCTCCTGCCTGCTCCATGGTTCTCTTTTGCTTTACAATTTTTGTGGGAAGGGAAGGGAAGGGAAGGGAAGGGAAGGGAAGGGAAGGGAAGGGAAGGGAAGGGAAGGGAAGGGAAGGGAAGGGAAGGGAAGGGAAGGGAAGGGAAGGGAAGGGAAGGGAAGGGAAGGGGAAAAAATAAAAAGAAAATTAAAAAGAAAAGTACGTGCAAGCTTAGTTGAGGCATAATAAAGCCTGGAGTGCGTATATGGTGTAGTCTGGAGAGTGTGTATATGGTACAGTCTGGAGAACCCAGCAATGAACCCACTGTATATAAATCCCACCGTGCCTGGCTCCTTGTGCTTTGATCATTGAACAAGATCACTAAAACATGCAAGCCTCAGACACTGACCCCCGGCTACTTCACGCCCCACAATAAAACTGTGTTCTGAAACCAAGTTAATCTCTTGTCTGGAAACAAAGGGAACAGAGGAAAACGTTTACCCTCAGAAGGTGCCAGGGCTGCCCCAGGGACATGTCATGGGCTCTCCTGGGTCGTGATGCCTCCTTGGGCTCATGATGGGTGATTGATCTGGAGACGGAACATGGAGGAGATCAAGGCAACGGAGAGGAGCTGAGATGGAAACCATGAAGGGGCATGGAATAAATCCTGTTTCCAAAATTTTGCACAAATCAGGAACAGGGCAAGAGACTTTAACAGGCTGCTGTGCCGTTATAATCACATCCAGCCTTCGTGCCCTGCAGTGGGACACCGAGCCCGCACCCGGCAGCCTGGCACACGTGCATTCAATCACCAGCACAGCCACTTTCTGTCCCTGCCAGGAGGGTTTTTATCCCAAGATATTCCAGCCCCAAAAGATCTTTTCAGTCATATTCACACAATTTCAGCGTAAACTGTCTCCAGAGAAACAGAGAAAATATATCCACATTAGCAGAGGACACGCAAAGTAATGTATTCACATCAGCAGCAGAAACTCATTGATCTGAAATTATGCCTTCCACTATAACTTTCCCCTGCAAGCTTTTGAAAGGCAGCTGGGCTGCAGAGAACCATAACAAACCTTTCAAGAGCTGACAGGTATCCAAAAATGCGTCTGCCTCTCCAAACGATTCAACCAACTCGGTCTTGAAAAAAAAAATAAATTAAAAGAAAGGGTATTTCAGCAGCAGTTGTGCCACAATTTCCCATCTCTGGGCACAAACACAAGACTCACCCTCCAACAATTTCGGATCCTTCTCTTGTACTGTTTGAAAAGCAAGCCCAAAAATGACTGTCATCTCACGTGGCCCTTTGCAAAGTCGGTCTCAGACTTGTCCTTCAGGGAATAGAGTTTTGCCTCCTCTGGTTCCTGCTGTCAAGTTTTCTTTGTTTCATATTTCAATCAGCCCTCCAAATGCGCTGTGCGGCATTCAACGGGGTCAATAGAAAGTTGCCTTTGACTGGTGAACAAAGTGGCGTTTGTGCACGAGAAAGAAACGCCGTGGGTTGCTGCAGGGTCGAGGAGATTAGAGGAGGCCAACATTAATTATCAATTAATATGATGGAGCCAAACCCAGGGTCCTTCCATATCCCTCTGGTTTTCCCTTGGCATACCCTTAGGATGGTCATTTTGTCCTCCATCATACTTGCAGAACCTCCTAGAACGACTTCATTTGGCTTTCTTTTTTTGGTTGTCATGCCCATACCTCTTCTACCCCAGTGCTCTTTCTACCAGCGTTCACCACCACAAATTCCCCCTCCTCTGCCCAAATAAGAGCTGGATCCAATTGTCTGGGGGCTAACAGCAAGGAGTGAGGGCTGACACCCCCATAACTTCAAACCCAACAGAGCTTGGTACAGCTTTTTATGAGAATGTCACAGATCTGTGACACAGATTTTTATGCAGAGAAGGCTTCTTTCCCCAAGCAAAGGCTTTTCATGGTCACCACTGTATCCAGGGTTAGCAGTGGTGGGTGGAACCACATCAATGGGCACACGTTTGTCTTGTTAACACTAAAAAACAATAAAGTCTGTCTTTGCTTCAGCAGCCTTGACCCTGGGGCATTCAATGCCAAGCCATAACAGGCAGGGGACCTGGGACAGCTGGACCATGCCCAAAAAACTAGGGAAAATCACCCGTTTCAAACCCAGGAGTGGGCAGAGAATGGGATTTGCCCAATGCCTATCCTAACCTACCCAAAAGAAGCAGGCTCGGTATTTCAGATCGGGCATCTGACTTTGAGTTTCTTTCCACACCTAAGGGGCTCAATTGGTTTCCCAGCCATTGACACCACCGTGTTCGTCTGTTTCAAAAGCCACGCATGAAAAGGCAAGCTGAAAAGAATTCCCCCAAAAGCACCTCGGGGAACGTCCCTTTGTTTTTAAAAGAAGTCATGGCAGAGAAAGAGAAAATATACCGTAAGGAGCAATCCTGCCTCAGCAAGATAAATGAAACGAAATTCTCATAAGTTCTTTTCAGCTCTCACTGCGGAGAAACTCGAGCCTAGACCCCAGATGCTTTATAGCTCTCGGTGTATTCCATGCCATGGAGACACATAGATTTATTCTGGTTGAAGATTCGAGCCTCATGTTGGAGCCAGAGAGGAGCAAGTGCAGCTCCTTGTAGACAGCTGATTGCATTTATTTACACAGAGGCTGGTGTGAGCTCATCGATCCTGAGGTTCACTGATGTGAGCCAGGAGGAGGGGAGAAACACATGAGATATAGAGCTAAATGCCAGCAAAACTGTACTTTGACCCTTATGGGTACTGTCCTGAACGACTTCCACTGCCCTTATCTCCAATTCAGCTTGACATAAAGGAGCATTTTAAGGATTTTAAGGATATAAGGAAGAAATTCTTCACTACAAAGGTGGTGAGGCACTAGAATAGGTTTCCCAGAGAAGCTGTGGATGCCCCGTCCCTGGAAGTGTTCAAGGCCAGGTTGGATGGGACTTGAGCAACCTGACTTTGTGGTATAACTTGGAAATAGGTGATATTTAAGGTCCCTTCCAACCCAAACCATCCTGTGATTCTGTGATTTTGATGCAAACATGGAACTTCAGACCTGTGTCTCCCTTCATCTGGTTGCCTTCTGTACCAATGTGAGGCTGTGAGGCTGAACTAATGCTGACGTGCCCCACCAGAGGGAAGAATTGCTTCAGGCTCATTGAGGTTATGTGTTCCCCTCTAAAGCAACTCACAACTCACTTGTGTCATGGGTTTGGGACAGCTCTTGTCTTTGGGATGCTGAGCTCCATACCTACCAGACGTTTACTGTCCTCAGTAAAATCTTTCCTAATCTCATTTCCTTCCTTCAATTTGTTGATTATGCATTTCCAGCCCCACCACACTGGAAGGAGGAGGAAGGATATTGCATCTTGTGCAGTCACCTGAAGTGCGGATTTCATTGGCAATCCCCAAAGTTGAAGAGATGGGCAAGCTGAATGTGGTCTGATTCAAATGGCACAAAGCTATCCTGAAAGCAGCCAGAGGAGGAAGAGCTCGTTGTGTTTTATTTGAGATACCACAATGCAATATGAGGCCCTGTCTCAAGGAGCTCTGTGACTTCTGCACTACATTTACCTGACCCTACCCATGCCAGATTGAGCAGTCATTTCTTATCAAGGTCCTCAAATCCAATGTCTTCTCTGGGTCATCAGGTTAAACTGTGTATTTCATTACCACCAAGCACAGGGATGCTAAAAGTTACAGGTGTTCAACTGTAGGACCCTAATTAATACCCCACAACTCAACGTGGTGGACGCATTGCCTTGCATATATGGGCTCAAACCTTGGCCTACATTCATCTCCCCATACCAAGGCTGTATTCCACCTCCCACAGCTGCTATTTACAAATTATCTTCATGGTTTGGGGAGCAGGGGCTTTTTTTCATGTCCAGTCCAGGGACACAAAGAGCTCCGTGGATATGTTTCAGTATGGGTCCATCTATATTTGCTGTGTGCAAGCACAGGAACAAGCTGCAGCCCACAGCTAAGCTCCAACCAGCACTCAAACGATGGGAAACAAATCACTCATATGTGTGGGACATGCAATTTCCTCACAGAGAAATTATCTTTGACCTTCTGCAAAACCGTCAGAGGGTCTTTTGTTTAGCTTTCTCCAGATGAAGAGCATTAAGTAAGGGGCATAGGCAGCGGATATTTTTCTCAGAAGAATTTCAAGGTGGGTGTCTCATGCTCATCCTCTGCAGTGAGCTCTCAGGGTGTCCAGTCCACTTCTTTTTCCAACTCAACTTTGTGATTGCACATGTGTTTCTGCTCTGGAGCACCAACAGGATGGAAGAGGATGGTGCTGAAAGATGTGGCAGAAATAGCCCATGAAGCTGGGTGTTAGAAATGATGGATTCCTTTCTGGCAACTGTTTATAAATGCTTGCCTTGAGCTTCTGCTCTGTAGACTTGAGAGCATGCAGATGGGATGAGGTGGTGCCCAGTCCAGCCACTGGGACCAGCCAGGTGGTCTGGCATGAAGCAAATGGGGACAAGACCTCACAATCCACCCACGAGCTCTGTGGATTGAGCACAGCCAGAGCTCTCCTTCACATTTCTACCCACTTTACCCTAGCAGAACCCTGTTTTGGCCTCCTCTCCATGCCGTGCAAAGTGTGTTTAAGCAGGGGGGGCTGCCAGCTTGGACCAGACCCCTGAGCAATCCCGTGTCCTGTCTCAGACTCTGGCAAGGAATAAATATGTCAGAAGAAGTGCAAGAAAATCCAGAATAAGCAAACGTGGATCAATAGCAGGAATCTCTTTCTAACTTCCAGCAAATATTGATTTAAACCCCCAGAGCAGACATGGACAAATATTGTCTCATCCAACCTTTTCGGGAGGTTAAAAGTGTCTTTTCAATGGAAAAAGAAAATTTGCACTGTTT